TTTTAAGAGCACTGAGGAGAGCAATGAGTTCTGCGTGGTACTGAAGCCTGTGATGTGCCATCATCAACACAAACATCAGTTACTACATTGGACATATCCACCTGCTTTGTATTCATGTTCATGAGACATTTGAATTTGGTCCCCAGTCCATTATTACACAAGACCCTCTTCATAAGGATCCATAAGGATGTGTCCTGAGTCAAAAGGCCACTCTCCTCCACGCAGTTGATCTCTTTTGAGCTCCAGTGGAAGTAAATAAACTGTTTATTCATCATCATTCCCAAATTAAAACGTCTACTGTGAAGAAAATTTAGAATTAGGCTGAAAAAAATATTCCCAACTGGTTCGCTGACAGCAGCCATTTGTCCCATGATGCTGCAGTAAAGGAAACACTGTCCTCTGTTCCAGCTGTTTGTCCATATTGATGACAGATAAAGTCCAGTTTCTGATGCATCTGTGAGCTCTGTCCACCAGAGAACATCAGTAAAGTCTGTATCCATAAAGTCTTCAGGATGTGCAGAGTGTGCTGCGTGTGTGTGTCTGGTCTGCGCTCACTGGCCAATCACAATATGTAATCAACTGTCACTGACACAATGTGTGGCACAATATTATAGTATAGTATTATAGTTATAATAATATAAGTTCAATATCCCAAGCTGATCATGATGCAGACTGTAGACCAGCAGCTCTGTAGAGGGTGGCCTCAGTTTCTTTGAGGTTTTATTTCTGTACCCTGCAAAGACAATGTGCCAGCACTAAACTGGATTATAACTGGGGTCTAGAGCACATTTACTCTGCAGTGAACTGACGCTGCACATCTGATTATCTCCAGGTTGTTTCTTATGCTGAGGAGAGAAATACATTCACTTAAAGCAGAAACCTCTTGGACAGTTGTTCAGGCTTCACAGAGTGATGTCAGGAGGGACTGTAAGGAAGAATATACTCCTGTCTTACCTTCTTGTCATGTCAGGTTGTCATCATCACTGCTGTTTCTCCTCGAAGTATGTTTTCCTTTTCAGTGAAATATTAATGAACAGATGAAATAATTGAATTACTGAGATAAACCAAGTATTGTCATTTACCACAGTGCATATTTACATACACACAGTTTCACTAAGAGAGTAACAAACATACCTCTGTGGGAGGGCATCCATTTCTTCTTAGAGCTATAATAAAAACCATGAAAAACGTCTTAATCAACAACATCATGACTTGGCAGAAAGTATCATCATCCATTAAACCATGATAACATTTTCTTTGACTGCACACAGATCTTACCTGCTCGACGTTTTCTTCTCTTCCAGACGAGAACTACGATGCCAATCACTAAAAGAGGCACTACAGCGATGATCACAATTCCTGTGATCAGCCCTGGGATCATTACTGTGCTACTTCTTTCTCTACATTCAGCATCACTTGCAGCAGTTCCTGGTTTTATCAGCTGAAGGTTTTCTGATTCACATCTGGAACGATAGAGGGACGTTTTTACTTTATAAATGTATAGAAACTTCAAATTCACTGCAGTTGTGAGAAACCAGATGTGTCTATGTCTGATGTGAAGCTTCACTTACTGTGTGTGTGGTTGACAAGATGTAAATGTCCCATCTGAAAATGTTCCATCTCTGCAGTCAGAGCACACAGTGTCTTTGGAGGCTGTTCCTGTACAAGAACAAATGATACACATGTTGAAAGTAGTTACTAGTGTACACATCATATGATGACAGGTTCAGTGTGATATGACATCACTACATTTCATCAGACTGTCTGATTTCCACTCAGCTGATTTTTAAAAATATTTTTGAATCCAACATTTGAAAATTAAAACATTCAATAATAGTTTTCTTTGTTTCAGTTCCCAACATGACAGTTAATCCTTTAATATTTGAGGTTTGATGAAATGTTGTAGTGCAGCTCTTTTCTCATAAGAGCAGAACAAGATGGATTTTAATTCACTATAAAGGAGAAATCACATCAGCTTCATAAACAAACCAGCTACTGTTTGACACGACACTGAAACTATCCAAATGTTATTAGCTTCAGTGCTTCATGCAAATATGTTTTGGCACCATGTCCTATCTGATCACTGGTTTGGGCTGCAGCAGGCAGATATCAGTGAGCAGGGGACACCAACAGCTACCAGACCATCAGCATCAAGAAGCATGAGGCTTTTCAACCAGTGGTGTAGCTGTGTCTTGGCAGATTGGTAGATCGTGGTACAGAGAATAAAATCCAATGTTTTACAGCTGCTACCAGCATTTTCAATGGCCTCAAACAAACAGAGAAGGTAAGGCATGTCTTTTTGAAAATAAAGCACGAAACGACAAAACCTTCACCACCCTCAGCTATGACCCCATCATGGCCCACCATCCAACCTTTCAGGATTTGGTTTCTGCTATAAATCGGCCATATTTTTACTTACTAGTTTTTTGTTCGGCCTCTCCAACTATATTTTCAGTTTTTAATCTTTTCCCCACTACTTTGAACATTATCACTGGCACTGTGTTGGTCTGCCCAGAGGGTCCAATGGTTCCACACAAAATCCAGCTGGAGCATTTGTCTGAATTTGAGCGTCTGTTCAGCTCATTTCAGCGCTGACTAACCATCGGCATTATGGGTGAGATTTACCAAGCCACAGCAGTGAGCTACAGCCTGAGGTTGGCCTGGCTGTGTGGAACTAAGAAAACAAGTCTCCAGAGCGAAGCCTGAGAGAGGAGATGTGAAACTACATTGAGATGGTTTTTGGTTCTTAAAACCAAAAATATATCTTCTTATTGATATCAACACTTCAGGTAAAACTGTAAAACATGGGACCTTAAAACTAATCTACAGTATGATTTTGAAGTCAGAACAAGAAAACCAACCTGTTTGACTGATGTATTGTCCTGGTTGACATCTTGTGTGTTTCTCTGCTGCCACACAGCTGTTCTTTGTAAAGTCAGTACAGTAGAATCCTTCCTGGGCTTCACAAACTGCATCTGATGTTGTTGTACATGATCTCTTTATCTTCAGACCAGAACCTGTCAACACATACAGAGGTTATGGAGATACAAAACTTCTATTCTGTTTAACTACTAGGGAACGAGTTTCTCCCAATCTATGAATTCATTTTATTGCAGCAGGAAAAGGGAGAGATGGAGGGTAGTATTCTGCAAGGAGAGATCAATTATATCATTACTGCAAGTCCTACTGATAAAAGGATTCTGCATCTTCAGTGACACTGTCAAACCAATCTTAGACAGTTGTCTCAGGTCTTGCAGTAATATTACTACTTACTGGTTTTGATCAGGTTCAGACACAAGTTTCTATTAACAATGAGAAAAATATTAACAGAAATCTACCTGGATCACAGTTTGTGCAGGGAAAACATTGTTTAAGTCCAGTGGGTTGATTCACAAATGTTCCTTCTAAGCAGGGCAGACAGGAAGTACTCCTGAACTCTGTGCAGTCTGTTTTAACTCTATTTCCTGTTGAAAAGAAAACCAACAATTTAATTTCATGCAGTATTTTTCTATTGAATGAAAATGTGTTAATCTTTGGGGTATAATTAGTTAAAGTGACACTGATGTCTTCTAAAGTTTCATTCTTATTACAAACATCAGATGAAGCCAAATTTAAAAACTAAACCCAGCCCAGTTCTTCACTGATACGTTTCACTTTCACATGAACAACACCGACCCCAGGAGACAGACTGACTCCACTGTTCTACACACAAGTGGTTGATTCTGGTGAGTATGGTTGACACCTGGCAGCACAACAAAGTCTCTAAAGGTAACTACCACAGTGAAATGTCCCTTAATCATTCAGTTGGCTCTTACCAGGTGGACACATAGGACAGCATTCGTTTCCTGTCCGATACTCTGCTGGATGACAGGTCAGGGTATTTCCTCTAAAGACTCTGATCATAAGAATCTGTGAAGATAAGAAAGTTTTTGCATCAGTGAAGCTGTTTGTTCAGACCTGGCAATAACATGCGCCTGCACATGTGTCTCGAGTGACACTTGTGATCGGATCTCACTTCTCTTCTTTACATGCAAATAAAAACACTGCTGTATAACACAAACAACAATGTTGTAATTATAGATGATCACGTCTTCATTTGTTTTAAATATAAACTGTTTTAAAGCTGCTGTCCCGTGTTCAAAGTTAAATGCTTCACAATACACTGTAAAACTGCCACAGGAAATTCATAAATATCTGATCTTTGTTCTTAATGATTTACATTCACTAATTTAGCAGACGCTCTCTTCCAAAGCGACTCACAAGTGAGAGACATCACTAAAGCTTCAGTGCAGTTGGAGACCTTGGTGTAAATAAGTACCACGTGCTACATAGTGCAAGGAGATCAAGTAAAGAAGTGATGAGTCTTCAAGAGATTCTTGAAGGTAAATAATCATTATCATAAACTATTTTAAACGCCAACATTATGAGGAATTGTTCATGTGTATTTATCACTTGTTAAATGTTTGTTACTCACTGTAAAATTGAGGAGAGCGCTCATAAGGATACCCTCTATTTATATTTATAAAGAGCAAAGAAGAAAGGAGCATGGACTCATGTTCAAAATTTGCAAGAATTTGTCATTATGGAGCATTGTGTGTAGATTGATGAGAGAAAAGGGAATTTAATCCATTTCGGAATAAGGTTGTAACATAACAAAATGTGGGGGAAGTGAAGGGGTGTGAATACTTTCCCAATGCACTCTATATTTATAAAGAGCAAAGAAAAATGAGGCATGAACTCGTGTTCAAAAGGCCTGTTCTAGGGAAGACTGTCATGTGACCCACATGACTGAGTAATGTTATTATCCATCATTGACCACACCCTAAATTAAAGTTCATCAGTTAAACTGGCATTTCTTATCATTTAACCTCCACATGTGATTTAAAATGTGCAGCTAATGACAGTTGTTGAGTCACATTTGTGTCAGAGGGGAGTATGTGCGTAAACTGGGACACAATGCAGAGTTTAAATTCATTTACAGCAACCTGCTGGAGAGTCTGCATCTGTTTAGGTGGAGGCAGACCAGTGATTCACATATAGACATTTTTATATTACTTTCTTCTTTGACTTAAAACTGTTGATAAATGTGATTTAAAGTGCAGATTGCTTGAATTCTGCAGGAACGCTGACCTGCACACACTGAGGAAAATGAGTCTCCATAGAGAGTAGTTTGAGAATACAAAGCTGTAATGCAGCTGACTCTTCTGCTCACAAACATCACATGACTCTCAAACAGGGAAGGCGAAACTTCCCAAGAGCTGTTTTTGGCTTCTTATGTCCAGTTCCCCTCCCACTCGCCACAGCTGTTCAACTCTTATTTTTTGTCTTCATTATAGTCACAGTGAGAGAGTGACAGTAAAGTTAGACAGAGAGAGAGATAGGGGGTGACAGCAGCAAAGGGCCAGGGGTCAGATTCAAACCCGGGGTGCTGCAGTAAGGACTAGTGTGCACCATCACGCTCTACCATGTGAGCAACCTAAGCTGCGCCCCCAGCTTTTTTTCTGGACCCTGAAATGATTGCATATGAGTGACAGAGAGAGAAAAGAGTCAGAAAAGAAAAAGGTTTAAATAATCAATAATGTTGGAGAGGAGCAGCAGTGTGATGTTTAATTTACTTCCCAACAAGCTCCCTGTAATCACAGTCGCTTTATTCACCAAATGTACACAGGAATTTGACTTGGTGATTACAGTGCAAGAAGCCAGGAACAAGAAAAAACACACAACATAAAAATGTAAGTTAAGAATGAAGTTACAAGAAATAAGAAATAAAAATAGAGGGATGACAGTAGCAGTTTAGTGCAGATCAAAAAATACAAATGTTCTGCAATAAACAACTTTACCAACAAAGATGCAGCTGTGTAAGGATTTCTTCTAGAAGTCATCTCAAACGGCAGGTTGGCAGGTTTCAGGTTATGAAGACACCATCTCACTGTGATCTGGGATGAGGCGAGTTTTAACGTCCAAAACAGGAGAAGAACATCTGGAAACAAAAAGTAAATCATGTAAAAACTGCACTGACCAGCAGGTAACCTGGTTACTGTGGATAAGAGTAACCTGGTTAACAGCTGTACATTTCTGCTGGTTACTGTAGCTGTTTCTGTCCAGTTTTAAACAGTCAACACACAGATGCAGAAGAGGTTTGAAGAAGTTTGAGCCTTTGTTTTACTTTCCTTTGTTGAGATAAGAGGATCTGGTGCTGGACTCTGCTCAGGTTTTAAAGTTCATTGTTCTGCTGAAAGTCTGTTTCCAGCTCAGCTCAGACTAGTTATCGTATGTGAGAACAAGTTTTACAAATTTGTATGAACATGATAAGTGGAACATGAAGCATCACTTTATCAAAGTTCAACTACAAGTGAAACTGAAAGTTTAAAGAACTGAAAAACAGCTTCGACCTGTTTTACAGTATTACAGTTGCTCTCTTACTTTGAAAACATTATTAACAAAACCAGTATACACCAAGCAGACACCAAGCAGACACCCAGCTACACCTAAAGTCACTTTATAGTCCTACAACAGGGCGAGGGCCTCTGTTCTCTGATCGAGATTTCCTGTTTATTTCAGCTGAACCATTCTTTGTTAATATTCCTGTTTTAGAAGCTTCTGAGCAGTTAGACTGCTCCAGTCTCAGACTGTTTTCTAAATACTGTTCTATAATATATTATACAACAGTATTTAGAAAACTAGTTCTATAATATATTATAGAGAAGAGCTCCGCTGCAGCGACTGAGGAAGGACTGAACAACAGACCTCACATACAGAGACCAAATATGGCCGATAAGGAAACAATATTCAGCTGCGCAGTTTCATGAACCGACACATTAAGAAGCAGCAGGAGTTTTCACTGATACTACAACAATATACTGAGCTCAGTTCTTTATCCTGTAACAAATAACTGATAGAAATTACATAGAAATGACGTGAACTTACCATCGCTGTTGTGAGACATATCCTGCCACCCACTTTCCCTTCATGCGGATCCGAGTACTTCACGTGACGTCAGATATATGAGCTTCGCTGGGTTTTTGAAAAGTTAAGAGGCGATATTAAGGACCGTATGAAGGTATGCAGATTTCCAGGTACAATGAGACAACAGAAGAAGTCCAATCCAAACCAGCTGTGGTTTAGTCCAGTGTTTTAGGTTCATATGAACAGGTGGCAGCTGGTCGAGACAATGGAGGATGAGAAGAATCGATGCTGGTTTTCATCTAAACAGAAAATATAAACCATGTGTTACAACTACTAACACTCTAACTTTAACATGACATCTCAAGCAAAATACTACAAGGTCTAAAGAACAAAGGAACTCACATTTACACTCAGACAAACATCAGGAGAGAGTCCAGGCTGCTGCAGGTTGGTCAAAGGGTTCACACAAGGATTCAATCTCTCTTTAAGCCCTACAGTCTCACCCTGACACAGCTCCTCCTCCTCCGTCCTTATCACAACCGCGAGATATAAAACCCGCTTTTTTTGACTGTCGTGTCACTGACAATGTTTAATCTCTGTAATAAAAAAAACCTAAAACAGCACAATACGCTCAGATCAAAATTGAGTGTCATGATCCAAAGTCCAAAGTGCAGTGTCACAAAGAGGAAGTCTTTGGAAGTTACTATGTCCTAATACTTCTACAGTGTACCAGGTATTTAATATTGAAACAACCTGGAATTGACAGAGTGAAAAAAAGAAATTACTGGGATCATGTTCATACAATGAATAAATAAACAAATAATTAAACAGAGGTGATAATCCACACAAGAGTCAATAAAACTAAAAATATGAAACAAATCAACGTTATACATTTTTCAGTGTTGAACCTGTGGAGTAGCTACTGCTTTTAGGGACTAAATGCTTTTTGACAATAATAAAGACATAGTACGACTTGAGAGTCATAGGCAGGTGAAACAATAACACAGGCTGTGAATCTGACACCATCCCTGGACCCTCACAACCATCAGACCTCTGACTTGGGAGGAAAGGTACGAAGATTACAAAATACAAAAGTTTATGACTGACATTAGTGCCGCCCCATATGAAGGGAAGATGATGGTGTTTGGGCACTAGAAACTTTTTGTTGGATGTTCCAACAAGCAGGTTGTCAGTCCACAGTGTGTCCTCAAAATGTCATATTTACCTGCAGTCAGTCAGTCGGTGCTTCAGTAGGTTGTTTCAGAGTCATTATGTTCTGTGGAATAATGCGTTTTACTTTTGATTACTTCAGTATTTTTAAAAGCAAGTATAACTCAAGTAAAAATCTTACAAATCATCACATTTTAAGTTGGTAGGTTTGTTCTAGACGTCACGTAAACCAATTAATACAGCTTATCTTGGACACTCATTGTACTAGATGCTTCAGTGACAGAGCCCATGCTGCAGGACGAGCAGCACAGGCAGGAGCTGCAGCAAAGACACTGGGTGGATAAAATGACAGCATAACCAATGATCCGAAAGGAAAACGTGTATAATCATGCTGCCTGGACATTCCCACAACCAGACATGCAGCAATTCATCCTATAAGTCTATGACTCTCATGCTAACTTTGTGCACGCTGACGAGGCAAAGATTGTTTATAACACAAACTATGCTCCAGATCATGTGATAGCATCGGCTTTACAGGAGTTACCCTCCAGAGACTGTGAAAGTGACAGCTGTTATTAGCTGTTTACAGATAAACTACAGTTCCCATATTTTCTATAATGAAGGAAAATGTCATCCCCTATGTGGCTCACTGATGTATGGACAGTGGCGGACGGCAGTTGGGATGGTACAAAAGATAACTTGGCAGAGTGTATATACAAGGGAGTTCATGAGTGAATGGGGAGACGGTGAGCAGAAAGGCAGGACAGGCTGGTTACTGCAGGGCAGGTGGTAGGAGCTGGGCCTGAAATGACAAGACAGATAGTGAAAATGGAAGAGAATGAACCGTGACAGGCTCCATTTCTATTTGCAGTCTGGGTCTTTTGGAGGCTCATATTCCTTGGACAATGATGATGTGCATATTTCCACACAGTGGTCTGTCGAAACCCCCTCAGGACCAGACTGCAGTGATTTAGTCATTAATGGCTATGGTCCACATTACAGTTCACATAATGTCCTTTGGCCGTTAAACTAAAAAGAAAATTCACTGAGCATCACAGACATTCCTAAATTACTGACTCTCTCTCTCAGTCTCGAGTTCAGCCAAAACATGACTTAAAAATAAAAAAGTGATGAACCTGGCTGGGATGCATTTGTTATTCAATGCTTTTAACTTCAAAAGTCACAGTTGGACATTGAACAAGTCCCAGCCAGGTTCATCTCTTAGTAGTGTCCCCTGGAAACACTTCTGTTATGTTGTGTGAAATTGCAGCGTATGTGTTATCAAATTGATGATGTTTTCTAAATTTGCATCTCGTTTCTGTCTTTGCAAGTGTTTTCTTCTTCTTTCTTTCTTCACTTCAACATGAAACTTTCTGTTTTCAGTTCATTTAAACATGAAGCGGAAGTTGCCCCCCCCCCACACACACACACACACTTCTCACTCCTAAGGAAGACTGCTCAGTACGAGTCAGAGTCATGAGGAGCAGTTTGTAGCTGAGTTTTTGGAAGTTCACTAATTAGCACAAAACTTTCCTGGTCCAGAAAACAAAGTGTAAACAAATGACAAATCTCTAACCTGAGCTCCTAAACCATAAACAAGATGAAACAAAAAGGACTGCTACAAGCTGCTCTGTATTTACAGGTTAGTGTTTGCACTTCTAGCTAAAGCAGTTTGTCAGAATCACTAAATATGAGCACAAAACTTAGAGGTTTGAAACACAAACACGAATATTAAAGTGCATCAACAACAGAACAAAAGTGTCACAAGCTGTTGGTTGGAACTTGCTCAGTTTAGTCAAAACCGGTTTCCTTTTTTCCCTGTTCCGTTTATATGTTTCACTTCCTGTATGTTGATGAGTGGTCATTTTGTAATAACGACCATCAAACCTCAGACTACTGTTTTTTATATTTTACTGTGCATCAGGAAAACATTAAAGATCCCTCCAGACTTTTTAAATTAAGACGTACAGAAATACTCTGCTTGGAATAATTTGTGTCTGTCCTGGTTTTCCACCAAAAAGTTTAAACCCATTTTCTTCCACTTATCCGTGGTCAGGTCGCGTTGGCAGCAGGCTAAGCACAGGATCTCGAGGCGTTCCAGACCGGATGGGATATGTAATCCCTCCAGCGAGTTCTGGGTCTCCTCCCAGTTGAACGTTCCAGGAGAACGGCTAAAGGAAGGCACCCAGTAGGTGTCCCAATCAAAAGCCTGAAACACCTAAACTGGCTCCTTTTGACATGAAGGAGCAGCGGCTCTACTCCGGGTGTCCAGGCTCCTCAAAGTCTATGACTGAGCCCATGCAGACACCCTACGGAGGAAACCCATTTCAGCCATTTGCCATTTCATTCTTTCAGGCACTACCAGGAGCTCATGACCATAGGGGAGGGTTGGAATAAAGACTGACTGTTAAATCAAGAGCTTTGTCTTCCAGCTCAGCTCCCTCTTCGCCACGTCTGTCAGTGTCCCGCTGCATCCTACCCTCACTCGTGAATAAGACCATGAGATACTCCTTCACTTGGGGCAACAACGCAACAACTCATCCCCAAGTTTAAACATCTTGAAGTTCTTAAAATTACATCTACTCCTTCTGCCTCGTAAACCTCCAGAATTCATGAAAATGCAAATAGTCTATTCTCAGTGAATGTGCACAGGAGGCTTCAACTCTCACCAATACATGCTGCTTCTATCTGCTCGACTTAATCTCAGACTTAAAATGAGCTGTGAGAAAGTTTCTCTCTTCAGCAGCTGACTGTGAACAGAGCCTCCCAGTGTCAAACTCTGCACATGCACATCCTTCAACACAGTGAAGATCAAACATCCCAGGGAAGTAACAACAAGAGACTGGCTTTTTTTTCCTGGACTGAGAAAGTTTAAACATGGGATATGATGACCAGGCCCCCATCGGATTCTTCTCCCCACCCAAAGAAACAAAACCTTTTACTGCAGGCCATAAGCTTTTTATGAATATCAGGTATCTACTGTACAATCATGAAGTCTTGTCAGCCAGTGTGGATATTGAACTGCGTCTGTGCAACTGTTGCAACTGTCATCAATCAATTCAAGGAACTTACGTCCATATCAAGCCGGTTAAATTTGAAAATGGATCTTTTTCTCTCCATTTCCGCCCTCCATCAGGACTGAAACAGTGAGGACAGTAGCACGACACTGAACAGAACAGAGGTGTAACAGGCGGGCACACAGTAACAAGCTGTTACAGCAAAACACAGGAAGATGACACAGGAGAGCTGTGTTCGATTCCCACGTGAAAGAAACAGTTAATGTTGTTTCTTATTTTGTGAGACAAACTGATTGAATGCTGCACGAAGCGAAGCGAAGGGTCAGTTCACGACTTGAAGCGAATGCGTCTCCCACCGTTCCACATAGAAATGAACTTGAAGTCAGTTTCAGTCCGACTGCGCCATCAGGCAGTCTGCATCCCTGTGAGGTCAGGGCAGTCATCTACTTCTCCAGTAATGAACCAAAAAGCTGTTTGCCAACTGTCAAAAGACATCAGAAGAAGAACTTGGTTTTCACGTTGGCACCTGAGGATTTACAGCATCAGGTGTCTAGTGTTGGCAATACAAATAACAGCTGCTGGTCCGGTTCATAGGAGCATTGTGAGGGACTTTTCACAAATCAGTACAGATTCCAACAGACAAATGTCACAATCTTATACAAATTTTTTTCACCCGTCTAGGACTCAAACATGTGGAAACTTGATCACTACATACCAGAAGTGTTGCTAATGTGACGCCCCGTCATCTGCTGTTTTTCTGCAGAGCCCGACTACATTATGGTGTATATGATAGTGAATTTTGTATGAGCACAGCAGCTATAATCTACCTACATAAAGAGTACGATATTGCACCCTTCACATTTGTCTGTACAGTCCAATTAATATCTCACTCCTTCCTGATTCTCTCCGGTAAGCCCCATGAATGATTTACTGTATGTGTGTCAGAGCGTGGGGGTGATTAGTCAGCTTCAGCTGCTTGTTTTTGCTTTGACATGTTTCTACATGTTACACTGTGGTAGTAAAGTATACACTGAATATAGGTGCACCGATGTCCTTTTCACTAACACTGGACAGATTCTAATTAAAAGGTCTAGTTATACCACAAGAGCACTGATGTGATCTTGACTTGTTAGCCGAGTGCAAGAAATAAAGAATGTACATACAGAATTTCTGTTTAATACACTGCACATCTGTATTCTTGATTGGGAAAGAAAAAAGCAAAAATGCATGCAACACTTGATGCTTATGTCAACATGCATCAGATATGCATGTTGGAACATCTGCCCTTCTTCTCATAAGATACTACCTATGAATAAAACCATCATCTTACAGTAGTTAACAGTGGGGCAGCTCCCAGTTGTACAGCCGTGTCTGGTTTTTGCCATGTATTTATTAACTTCTACTTCATTTTCCAACCATTACCTGACCTTTTCCACCCACCTACATACACCTGTTCCCATTTCCCCATCAGCCCAGTAGAATGAATACTGACCCACTCTCATTCGCTGCCTGATTGTCTTTTGTGCTTAAGTCATAGTGTTACCTGTCTGAACTTTGTTTTTTGACTTCTTCCTGCTTTTTAGACTATTCTTTAGTCTGATGTCTGTTTGGATAAGTCGACCTCACTCTACCTGCCTGCCTGATTTTGGCCTTTTCCTGTTAGTAAACTTGAACTTGAAAATTTTTGTAACTTTACCTGTTTTGAAGTACGACGAGGTAAATTTAGACAAAAATAACATTTAATTAATTTTACCCTTTGAAAGTATGAAAAGTTATGTAAATAGACTTTAGTGTGAATCCAATGCGTGCAACTTGTATCTACATTTCCATACGTGGCGGGAGTGAGCGGTGATATCCAATAAATGATCAACCAAAAACCCAACAATGCCACCTTGTGAATTTCACCCAACCTTAGCAACACCAGAGAAGGTATTCAGGTCCATCCTACAAATGCAGCAGGAGACGTGGTTCCAGTAAAAAAATATATGCTTTATTTAATACAATATGAAACAATTGCTAAAAGTGATTCAAGCAACATCCACACATTAACTTAATGGGGAGAAAAAGAAAGGGGGGCCTTAGCTGAGGCTTACCAGTGGAGAGATGGGCCAACGAGGGATGAGAGGGATCCCAGGGAAAGTCATCCCATTCATACGGGAAACATTCATACACTCAGTGGTGGAAACAAAAAAAACCCAGGGGTGCAACGCACAGCACACAGGAAGGAGACTCCGTCACCAGAGGTCACCTGCCCCATCACCTTAGGCTCTCAGCTTCTGAAAGAGACAAGGGGACACAATTAGTGGGGTTACACCCAAACAAAAATACTAAAGCTACTAAACAAAACTAATCTTTAAAACAATTAACCACTCACAGACAGCTGACTGCCGCTTATTCAATAAACAAAACATATTCAACGATGAAAATACAACCAATAAACAACGCAAATGAGGAGATAAACCCCACTGCGCGCGCGCACACACGCACAAACAAAAACGGCAGTTTAACCAAAATAAAAAGGGCTGATACCCACATCAGTTATTGACCCAGGGGTTAAGAGGGTTAAGTCTCAGAAGTAAAGCCAGTTATGACTCAGCAAAGTAGCAGCGTTTCCTGTACGTGAGTCTGTGTAGCCGCCGTCGCCGCAGCTCCACGCTGAATCAGTTGGGCCCAAACCCTGTCACAAATCAATGTTATTAATTTTAACAGCCACAGAGAAAAATAAAAAGTGCAGGTAGGGCCGTGATGCCTACACACTAGGCAGCAATGAACTATGAGCTCGGCGAGGGAGAGCAGAATATACCGCGCTCATACCGCTGTGGAGACAATAAAACAGCTGTAACTTCACGTGCAGCAATAGAACGCGACAGTGCAAAGAAAAGGAGCACGCGCCGACAGCGATCCGTGAGCAGCTCACTTCATAAACGTTGGGGTGGGGGTGCATAATAGGGTAATGTACAAGAGGTAGAACGCCTGTTGTAAGACAAATGGACTAACAATTTGGAGCAGAACTTCGTAGCCACTGCTACCCTACCTGCGACAAGCGGAACAGAGACCTCCAACGCGGCATCCAGGAAGTGGAATGTGCCTTCAGCATCAGAGAGCCAGAGGGCGTTGATTTGGCAACCAATCACCTTTAACATGTGCCCTCAGGCAGTGATAGGCTGATAAGGGCTGAGTGGTCGGAGCAACACGGCCCACTTATACCACACAGAGATGAAACATCTCATTCTGCTGCACGCACAGTGTTTTAAAGTGACAGTGCAGTAGGGTTGACACGTACACAGTCAACACCAATGCAATGTTGAAACTGAATATATTTATTTTTCCAAAACATTACAGTTGCAACACTAGTTCAGTGTTGCACAGTGCACAAAAACACACAACCATGGGCTGTACCAATTTGTCCAGTGCATCACCCGCAGCAAGCTGCATCTATCCTCCGTGCTGGGTCTGGCCACAATTTGTCATCCACATCACATGATATATTTTCTCTTGCCAAATAAGGAGGGAAGAACTTCCTAGACTGACATATATATATATATATATATATATGTATACATATATATATATTCATCTATTTAAATGCTGAAACTTGTCTTGCCAAGTGAAAAATGAGGATCTCTGGAAGAATAACATTCAGTTAGTAACAATGATCCACATCTGCTCCATTTCTTAACGTTGAAATAATGATCTCATACTAACTTCTCAAAATTGTTGTCCTCTGCATGTGGCCAAATGCTCCTTTATGACCTACTATGCATTTTATGTAACTATTTTCTTTCTAACAAATCTCACATGGAAGCATGGGTTATAGGTCCAGGTCCGATTAGGACAGTGTCTGGGTCTGGATCCGGACCACGGTCCGCCTAGTGGTGACCTCTGTTGTATCTAGACTTTTTGGTTGTGTTATAAAAAGTTTAAATGTCAAGCCTTTGACCGTGTTGTTACTATTTGCTGTTCCCTGCGTTAAGATATAACCAAATTAAAAAGATTAATCAGTAATAATTTGGTCTAAATTCTCAAGGAGTCAAATGGAAAGTTCCCTACAGAACCTCTTAAAGCTGCTTCCTTCCTCTACAACATCAAAACGTCACTATGCGGGTAAGGCTGGACCCAAAATACAGCCAACACAGGGGGATGAGGAGCAAACAGGTTTATTAATTTAACAACCGCTGGTGAACCACAAAAGGAAACTAAAGCACAAGGGTTACACCAGACTTAAACCACAGGCCAGAACACGAGGAACCACAGGGGGATGACAACAGGCAACATGACCAGACCGAGGAAAACCCAGAGATCAACAGATGAACCGACACAGACAAAGGGAAGCACAAAGACTATACAGACACAAGGGAGGAGAGGGTGATTTGCACACAGGTGAAACACATTAGGGCGGGGCAGACAATCACCACACAAAAACAGGACCAAGACAGCAAGTAAAAACATTGAGACACACAAGGAAACCAATTACAAAACAAAACAGGAAGTGACAAAAGTCCAAACAAACTAACAAAAAGTGTCTGCCATGGCAAACCATGACAAACATTAGAAAACTGCGGTGGCCCTAGGAGCTCAACAAAACACAAACATAACACATGCAAAGCACAAACACGCTGCGAATTCAGAAAACATCTTCATCAATTTGACAACACATGCAAATACACAAACACGCTGTAAATTCAGTCCCACAACACAATGGAAGTGTTTCCAGGGGACACTAAAATGTGATGAACCTGGCTGGGACTTTCTGTCCAATGTCCAATGGTGGCTTTTGAATTTAAAAGCACTGGATAACAAATGTGTCACAGCCGGGTTCACCACTTTCATTTTCTTTTTAAGTTGTAGGGAGAGAGAGAGAGAATGATATGGCGCACAGGGCCACGGGTTGGCCTCAAACCCACACCGCTGCGGTTCGGATTACACCTTCATACCCCAACCCACCCCCACACTTGTGTATGCCGGAAACAATTGTGTTGTAGGACTGACTTTGCAGCGTGTTTGTGTAGTTGCATGTGTTGTGAATGTTTGCAGCACATGTGTTGTCAAATTGATGAATGTGTTTTCTGAATTTGCAGTGTGTTTGTGTCTTTGTTTGTGTTTTCTTAGATTGCAGTGCGTTGAGCTCTCAGGGCCACCGTAGAAAACAGAACCTTAATTAGTTTTGCTGATCACAAAGATTTAGCTGAGTAATTTGATCACTGCTAAATCTGACACAACTGTTGCTGCTGTTAAAATTCAGTTATCTTCGTAACCCAAACCCTCTGACAAAGCTCCGTCAACATTTATGTTTCCTACTGTGCATATTGTGATGTTAAGACTTAAGAACTGTTATATTCTTCAGTGTTACATTTATTTATCTCATTATCTTGTGAACCCATGACAGAGTTTTCAGGGACCACACAGCTGACTGAAAGTGAATCACTGGTTTCATCCTCAGGACAAATCAAAGTGTGGATTGAACATGGCTGCGGTCAGTGCAGGCTGTGAGATTCATACAGTGAACTAACATCATCAGAGCACTTTAAAACTGTGCACTCCTGACCTCTAGTGGCCAGAGTCAGTGCAACATGCTGTCACATGACACACCTAATACAGTACATGGTTTACAGTGATACAAAACACTGTGTTCTTTACAACTTTGTGGATCTTTTTTACTTTTGTTATACAGGCTTCACACGACTCAAAAATAGAAAATATTCAGAAAGCAGCTCATTTTGTCAGAACAGAAGAATTTACAGGCTGAGCAACTGCTTCAAAGTCCAGGACGCTGTAACTGAAAATACATCCACTGTACTGTGAATATGGTGTAAAGTAACTCTAGTGTAAAAACACAGGATTACAATGTCTACTTTTTCACACAGGGATGTGGCTGGGGTGGGTTGTTTCATAGGAAGATGCCCCCACAGACACCCACCCCCAGAGTGGGGTCACTACTGCCTATGTCACATACTGCTTTGTCTGAATGTATGCATTGGTAACAACGCACAATGTACTGCTATTACTCTATTACTCTATAGTTCAGTGATACGTGAACATATCCATAGCGAAGGTCTTTGACACTATCACAGTTCCTCTCTAATAGAACCAGAACAGCTGCTTCATCTTACTGTAAATTAGTGTTGATGTGCTGAAAGGTCCAGTGAAAGTTTAAGACCTGTTTAACTTTAACTCATCAGTAAAAATATTGTATCTTTCATTAAAAAATCTATTTAGTGCAAAATTGGGAAATTTACCAAAGTAGTCTGTCATAATACAAACTTATGAACTGTAGGAAAAAGTTTATCAAAGCAGATGTTAGAAGTATGTAGATAAATGTACCGTCGACACACTGAGCTTATTTTGTCTTTTTGGATTTTTTTAAGTAAGATTTTCAAAGAATGTGAAGACGATATCAAAACACCTACAAACTAGGAAATGAAAGAGTCATCTACCAACTAAAAGATTTTTCTTTTCTTTTCTATTTTATAAAAAAAAGAGAAAAAAGACTGACCAACTAGTAAGAAATTAAAGAGTTGAATCTTATCATCCTGGATGGATTTCTTTTTGTTCTTACATGAACTTTGTGTGTTTGCTGCTGCCTGTCATGAAACACATTTGATTCTGCGTACCAAATTCAGACTGTGAGAAAGACAGAGGACGTAGATGGCTTACATGTCATTTCTACTTTGACTAGAACACATGTAGCCTCCGCTTTCTCCTGTAATAACATGTAATTGTGAAAATGGTTTGAAATGTTGTTGTATCAGTTACATCAACAAATAGGGTTAGCCTGCAACATCAGAGCTCTGATGGTTGTGAGGGTCCTGGGATGGTGTCAGATTCACAGCCTGTGTGATTGTTTCACCTGCCGATGACTCTCAGGTCGTACTATGTCTTTATTATATTCAAAAAGCATTTAGTCCCTAAAAGCAGTAGCTGCTGCGCAGGTTCAACACTCCTCAACACTGTATACAAGTATAACATTGATGTTTTTCATATTTTCAGTTTTATTGACTCTTGTGTGGATTATCACCTCTGTTAAATTATTTGTTTGTTTATTCATTGTAGAAGAAATTGGATGGATGGATGGGTTTAAACTTTTTGTTGGAAAACCAGGACAGACACAAGGTGATTTGATGGTGGTTATTACAAAATGACCTGACATCAACACGCAGGAAGTGAAACATATTTATATTATTATTTTTATATATTATATTATATTGTATTATATATTTATAACAGAACAGGGAAAAAAGGAAACTGGTTTTGACTACACTGAGCAGGTTCAAAACCAATGGCTTGTTCTGTTGTTGATGCATTTTAATATTTGTGTTTGTATTTCAAACCTCTAAGTTTTGTGCTCATATTTAGTGATTCTGACAAACTGCTTTAGCTAGAAGTGTAAATACCTTCCAGTAAATATTTTTGGTTTCATCTTGTTTATGGTTTAGGAGCTCAGGTTAGAGATTTGTCATTTGTTTACACTTTGTTTTCTGGACCAGGAAAGTTTTGTGCAAATTACATTTTTTTTCGATTGCATAAACACTAAAATCAAAAGTATTACACAATTATCAAAACCTTACATTCAAGGAGCAAAACATCAGCCCAGATTTGCACCACTGTAAGCACAATGTCAGCCTCACACGTTTTGCAAAACAATACACACAGTGATTTGCAAAACACTAAACACACTTGTATACATTAAACACAGAAGTATATCATGATGTCACTTCCTTGCAATTCCAAAGCACTGACTGTCAAATTACCACACCTGTGAGCCAATTGGTTAAACACAGCCATCAGGTGTGCAAACACATTATTACTTAATTTTACACACACCAATCAGGTTTAAGTACTATAAAAATGCAGCATGTGAGTTCACCTGTCTTCTACCAAAATGGAAGGAGTCAGAAGAAGAAGAGTGAGGGTGAGAGGGGGAATCCACGGCGGAGGAGAAGGAGGTAGAGGAAGAGGAAGAGGCGGAGGCCGTGCCAGAGTTAGAGGCAGAGGTGGAGGCAGAGGAAGAGGAGGACCTGAAGCAGGAGGAGAACGTGCTCAAAGAAGAAGAGGACCAAATTTATCAAATGAAATTCGCGCAACACTAGTTGACCATGTTGTGAACCACGGATTGATGCTGAG